GTGGTTTTCCTAGTGAAGTTTTTAATGAGGCATGAATATATATTTTTTATTGTACTCTTTTCTTGTCTAGGTTTTTCCCACCGGGTTTTTCTAGCAAGGTTTTAACGAGGCAAGGTCGTGGCCAAATAATGTCCAAGGGGGAGTGTTGTAAATAATATTAAGTGGACATTATTATAGTGTTTATAACACTTGTAACGGTCGGAGGATTATGACCACACTTATGGTTTCCGTTACAATTGTACATTATATATATGTGCTAATACCTTCTTGTATAGATGGAGTTTTGGATGCAAGATTAATAAAACTTCCTTGTCTCTTATCTTGTCTCTACTTTTCTTCTACTTTTCTTATTTTGTGCCACTTGCAACTGTATTCACCGGTTACCGGTTAGGAGCTAAATGGCCAACGGGCATAATCTCCCACAACAAATTAACAATAACAATATCCTTCTTTACGATAACAAAAATTAATTAAAAATTCTTAATCAGTTTGACTGGTAGGTTGATTTAGACAGGTATTGAGCATTTCTAAAGTACCAAATTTTAAAGAAAAGCGGCAAACATCCTGCAAACCTGCAATATCAATATATGTTTAAAGAGCTTAATTTATGCAAACCTGCAAGGTGCCAAGCTTTGCACCAGCCAAAGAAGTTGGATTCCTAAGTCTACATCTGCCCTACCAATCATGAACACCTTCAGTACTAAGCACAAAATCATCTAAGTCAATAAAGCTTCTCATGCATAAACAGGATATACCTAAAGCCTATAGTTTTGAATACTTAAACATAGTTATATGTCTCACATTTGAGTAGAGACAACACATAGATGCTAAACTATAACATTTTTCATCTTCCAATATAGTAAAACTAAATTATTTGAATTTGAGGCACGCACAAAAATAATTAATAATTGATGTTAAAGACTAATTTTATTCTTTCTAACACTATTATAAAAAAAAATGGGCCAATACAAAATTCTAATAATGCAAATTCAAACTTCAATAGGGAACCATAAAATTCATAAAACACATTATAAGTGCATAATTAATAAACTAATACCATCATGAATCATAGAGCCCAGCAGACAAAAATTAAAGTTCATTCAATTTTAATACAGAACAGATATATATAATCAAATATATTCCATTCATATGATCATATCCATCATCACTACTGGAAATTCTGAAATTTCCGACCACCTGAAAGTGATCTTAAATCAAGTTGAAAGTCTTGTTCCGACCACTTTTGGTATCCGGAAAAACCACTGTTGCTATTTCCGACCACTTTTTGGACTTTTTGGTATCAACTTAATTTAAGATCATTTTCAGGTGGTCGGAAATTTCAGAATTTCCAGTAGTGCATTTCAAACCAGATGCATGAAGAAAGACGAAGTATTATGGATCAGAAATCAATATTTACCAGAAAATCAAACAGGTCAACCAAATTCTATTTGAAGAAATTAAATATAAACAACTAAAGCTGCAATTTTTTCCTTCCAAAATTATTCTTTGTGTCAGTTCAGAACATTAATCTGATTATAGAGATAAAGTCCAATTCTTAATGCAAACAATCTCTTGGAAAGTGATGTGAAATCTGTGTTCAATATAATCTTCAAGATTCATATTGTGTTCATGCCTAGAAGATCTAACTGATACTGAAATTTCTGCTGCCTTTAATTTGGTTAATCTAATCACTTGTGTAAAGAAACACAGCTCTGTCAAGGCTCAGGTGTAACGTTTATCCGTTACTATTATTATAACATTAGGATAAGTTATGATAATAACGTGCATCAGGAACAACAAATATGGAAAAGAAAGCCTATATATGCCTTCCTGGATTTGCTGCTTGTTATATTATAATCCATATCAACTAACTAGTACAAATCTCTGCTGTCAGACAATTTAATGCAGAAAAAAATAAATAACAATAACTGCACCTATGAGGAAATCTTACATTTCATTAATAATGAAAAGAAATAAAGCATCATAATATACCACGAAATCTTACATTTCATATATAATGAAAATGAGTACAACAAATTATTACATGCATTTTGAGCCCCACAGACCTTCCTAATGATCAAAGCACAACAAATTGAAGAAATGAAGCTAGCTAGTTCAAAGCACCGCAGACCTTCCTAATGATACCATTTTGACCTGTGAGTGGCTGAATTTCAGACATTTTAATCATAGCTGATGCGAAATTTGCTTGGAATGCCTGTGGGCTCCTTGCATACTCTGAAACTATGCTGTCCGTAGCTCCACCACTGAATAAAACTGATCCGATTGAAGCAAACCTTTCTTTTGCAATAGGTTCTTGTAGTAGTTGTTATCGAAGGAATTTGTGGTCACTAAATCAAGTGGTGCCAAATTTTCATTTCCGGTGTCGTTAGGACATTGGCGTCTTCTAGTACGTGTTAGCAAAACTGACATCAATGTCAGTATGGTTGCCATAAATTCTATCGCGAAATAGGAAGCATTGAGCTTGGCCGAGAGTGTGTGCACCAGACAAAGCAACCATGTCTCTTGTATTAAAGCCTTTGCTTGCAAAGCTAGATATAAGTGTATCTAGATATGCAAATAAATCTGACACTATAAATACAAGAAATCTTATAATCTGCCCACACAATTCGATACCTCCGTATAATACTTTTGAATCTGCAAATTATACTAATGGGATCTGTTTTTGTCTCTGCAAATTATACTAATGGGATCTGTTTTTGTCTCTGCTTCCGGCCTATCCCCAAAGACAAGAAAAAGTTGTATAAGACTCCGGCTGATGCGCTGTTATTTGTCAAGGGAATATCCACATTCCACAATCAACCAACAAACACTGGAATGCTTACTCCATGACTCCCAGGTGAATATTATTATTATAGCTCTACAGTTTATATTACATGTTGATTTCTGGTGGAGTTGTTTAGGTTGCATTTTATTAAAAACTCGTAGAGCATGCAAAAAATTAATAAGATTATCAACTCCACCAGAAATCAACATGTACTATAAATCGTAGAGCTATAGTAATAATATTCACCTGGGAGTCATGGAGTAAACATTCCAGTGTTTGTTGGTTGATTGTGGAACGTGGATATTCCCTTGACAAATAACAGTGCATCAGCCGAAGTCTTATACAACTTTTTCTTGTCTTAGGGGAAGCAGAGACAAAAACAGATATCATTAGTATTTTCTATTTGAAGAATCGAACAAAAATGATTAGAAAGTATTATATGGAGGTGTAAAATTGTGTGGGGAGATTATAAGATTTCTAGTATTTATAGTGACAGATTTTATTTGTATTGTCCTATTAACGAATAGGAATTTTGATGTAGAATTGTAATAGAAATAGGATCATAGGAATCAATATATTCGATTGGAATTATATTATACTATTTTACAGTTTTGAATTGCATGAGCAAATTATAAGATTGGTATGTAGTGCCAAATTTATTTCTCCAGTTTTAGGGTTGGAACACACGAAATATTATAACAATATTTTAATATTATTGTATTGTATTACAAATACGAATTTTAATGTAGAATTATAGTTCGAATAAGAAGGTAGAAAACAATATATTTTATTAGGAATTGTATTACACTATTTACAATATTAGAAATTAGAATACAAATGTGGATGTAAAATTGTAGTACGCTAGAAAAGTAGAAAACATTATATTTTATTAGGAATTGTATTAACAATATATTTTATGGGATTGTTTTGGGCGGGAAGTTAAAGTGGAGATTTTGTTTTTATATATAGTATAGAGTATAGATAGATAGATATGGATTTGTACTATTATAAGGAACTAGTATTTGTCCCGTGCGATGTACGGAAAATATGTTATAAAAATATACACTATATGAGATTTATTCATATATAAAATTTTTGTTATTTAATAATTATTATGTGTGAATTCCTATGATAAAATTATGAACATAAATATATTTACAATTAAAATAATATTTAAGGTGGGTGATTACTACAAATATTAAACTATATTAAAAATTTAGTACATAGTATTTAATATTATAAATTTTTAAGAACTTAGTAAACTACAATAGTAATTGAATTACAACTTTAGAGTCACCACGGATCAAAATTTTTAGACCTTTGAGATTTCTAACTCTAGATGTAGCAACATACAATTGACGTTTAAAGACCAAAATCACAATCTTAGTTAGAACATTGATTTTTTTCTTCCAAATACTATCGAATTAAGTGTGTAATCAATAAAAGATGAGAACTAATAATTCGAGAATATAATCTTAATGTTACTAAGCCTACTTCACGTCAATTAAGTTGGAGAGTGTTGTTGGATAGTATCCGATGAATCCACGAATAACGCATCTTTGTCTCCGTAGTCCTCAATATGCACATCAACAATCTTAAATATTAAGCCACATAGCTATGCTATATATTAATTTCAAACTTATGGACTTTGGGGTTACATGCATGCTTCTTAAAGCCATATGGCTTTAAGATGTGAAAATTAAATGTTGCATTTAATTTTCACATTTTAAAGACCATTTAATTTTCACAAGACTTTCACATCTTAAAATCATATGGTCTTGTGAAAATTAAATGCAACATTCAATTATCACAAGACCATATAACTTTATTATATATAGGATAATTAATAAAAGATATATTAGTTATTTATTTAAATTTAATTATTAATAAATAATAAATTATTTTTATAAAATAAAATAATGCTCTCATTTTGCCTATTATAGCTAATAAAGATAAAAATAATTTTATTAAACACATATTCACAATTAGATAATAGTTAATGCTAACAATTAATAGCTAATTGCCTGGAATACCCATTCACAAAAAATTGAAAAAAAAAAAAAAAACAGTCAACTGGGTTGCTTAAAGGATAAAAAGTCAAAGTAAGTAATTCAATCTTAATCTATTTTTGGCGTGGAGGTATATTTGACACTTTGTGCATATCACATGGAAAAAAATGGAGGATAAAACTCATAAAAGCACTCAAGTTGGTATATAAAGTTATATACGAGTAATACATTTCTCACCAAAATCAGGAGAAAGGCCGCAGACATGGGAATCCTTGGAAGTCTCAGTTCAGATCAACTCCAGTTCTTCAATTCGCAAGGTTAACATCTCTGTTCATATGCATATACACATATCTGTATGTATGTATGTGTGTGTAATGCAAACAATTACATGTAAATTAGCATTGGAACTAATGCAGTGAGTGGAACTATGATTAGGGTATCTTGTGTTGGAATCGTTTTCCAGTGCAGAAGATATAGAATCGATGAGGAAGAGAATGGAGGAGTTGCTAGATACGTTCGATTGCTCTTCCACCGCCTCAATTTTCTCCACCAGGAATCAGGTCAACTCTTATTCTCGACTAATTAACACCGCCATATCAAAAACTCAACTCAAAATATCCTGAAATTCCCCTTTTCTTTTTGGGGTTTTTTTTTTTTTTTTTTTTTCCAGAAAAATACTACTGACAATTACTTCTTTGAAAGTGCTGAGAAGGTTTCATTTTTCTTTGAAGGTTTGTTGTCGATTATTTTGTGTATGTATCTTGTGATTTGGCTGATGGGTTTTTAAAAAGGTAGTTGTATAATTTACAGAGAAAGCATTTGGGGATGATGGCAACTTAAAGCAGCCAAAGCATCTCTCAATAAACAAAGTTGGTCACGGTATGCCTGAATGAAAGAAACGCCCTTACTGAATTGTTTAATAATGTACATTCTGAGACTTTCAACATTTTGAGTCTCTTCTATTCATAATTTAAGCAATATGATCTTGAATTACTAGAGCATATCCTATGTTTATTTTTATTTTATATCTTAAATTGGATATTTTATTACCTGAAATTTGGCAGCTTTGGATGAAATTGATCCTGTGTTTAAGAAGTTCTCTAGTACAGAGAGAATGTCAGGCCTACTCCAGTCTTTGGGTTACCATAGGCCAGTGGTCATTCAATCCATGTACATATTCAAGGTACCTTTTTTACTGGCATTCCGGAATGCATGTTGTGAAAGAAAAAGCTATCTATTGGCTGCTGTTCCCACATTACATTGCAGCAGTTATGTTGCACCGGAAATAAGCAGTACTTAATAGTGTTAATTTTATTTTATTTTAAGTCAAACTCTCGACTGCTGTTATGAAGGATGCAGAAATTAGGGCCAACACAGTAAGGAAGAATCCTGCATATCCGAACACTTGAGTTACACTACATCTAGATAAAAATTAGTTTTTGGGAAATCCCCCAACTACGGATGTGGTGGATGTGAGACTCACATGTGAAGCTTGGAGATTTGAGATGACTTGCCAAATTAGTGACAACACCCTTACTGGTGATGAATCATGGCCCGATTCAACCTAGAAAGCATAGACACCAAATTTAGGATCAGATACCCATCCTAGACACGATAATGCTTCAGACCCCAAAATATTCCCATCTTAACATTTTGTGACAATTTAAAAGGGGCATGCAAGTCCTAACACATCCAAGACACATATTAATGGTAGTGATGATAAAATTGAAGAACTATGAAAACTGAAATTTGAATCTCTTTGGGTAACTAATGTTATTATTGTTACTCTGTGGCTTCAGTTATTTGTAGGCTATTCTACTTTACTCTTCTTTTGTGTGTCATTTTTTCTTTGTTGGTTTTATTTTATTTTATTTTATTTTTTAATTTGTCACCTGATATGCTTAATAGTAAATTAATAATAGAAATATTACTAGAGTAATTTTTTATAATAACTAAAATTAGTGTCTCTAAAAGGGTCTATATTTTGGAAATCTTGTGTCCTTGTGTCCATATCCACTCTTCATAGGATTCAATCAACCAAGGATTTTTACCAGCTTTTACTGATTTCTACCTGGTTTTGCTACAAAATCTTTCATGTAGAAAAGAAGTCTGACTAGTTCCCTGTGGATTGGCTGAAAATTCTCTAGTTCCCTATAGAGAATTTATTGAGTGATGTATAGTTTCCATGGACGCACAGAATAATATTTTTAATTTTTTGTTTTTCATACCTCTGGTCATAATTTTAAGAGAACCTCCTGTTACTTTCTTTTATAATTTGAATCTTTTTTTTTGTTTTGTTTTTTTCCCCCTTTTTTTGGGTCTTTGAGAGTATGAACTATTCAAAGGAGAGAAAGGAACCAAAGGAGTGGTTTCTGTACATATGTGACCACCACCTCATTCCACACTTGATATTCAATTAGTATAAATTACTGAAATAACATAATTTCCTTAAGTATACCTCATTCCTTGCACGACATCTAGCTTTCTTGGGTGACATTTCAAGTTTCCTTTTCAGCAACCAGGTATTGGGGGTGAAGTAGTGCCACACCAGGATAACTCATTTCTGCATACTGAGCCACGAACTTGCACGGGGTTGTGGCTGGCTTTAGAGGATGCAACAGTTATAAATGGCTGTCTTTGGGCTATTCCAGGGTCTCATAAAAGTATTATTGCTTCTTATTTTATTTTTAATTTTTAATTTTTAATTTTTAATTTTTTTTTTTTTTTACAAATTGCAATATAGTTTTTGCTTATCAAAAATAAAAATTATTTTCATTTCTTTAGATGGTCTTGTGAGGAGATTCATTCGAGATGCGAATGGGGTTCATTTTGATAACCCATCCCCACTCTATGACCAAAAAGATTTTGTTCCTATTGAAGTTAAAGCTGGCACTTTGGTTGTCATCCATGGTGATCTTATCCACCAGAGGTAAGAAGTTCATTAATAACCGGATTGATTGTTGACTATATCTCTGCCATATGCACCTTTGAGATTATACTCTGTAACACGCCGATATATTTTTTTACAGCTTTGAGAATCAGTCTGAAAAATCAAGGCATGCATACAGTTTGCATGTAGTAGATACTCTTGGCTGCAAATGGTCAGAAGACAATTGGTGAGTTCTTTAGTTCTAATTATCGTTTGCTTTGTGTTTTGCAATTGGTGATGCCACACTTTTTCACTTAAGTCAAAAGTAGTAGAATCAGTTTAAGCTTTTGTTTAGTGTTGGAGTGGCCTGGTCAATAAAGATGTCCTGCCTGTTTAATTTAAACTATTTTTTCCATTTTTTGATCTCCAATTTTCTATTTCCATTCTCTATGACTCTATGAGCCATGGGTCCCACTGGAAAGTTTTTGTTTTCCAAAAAAAAAGTTCACTGTTAAAAAAGGTGGGTTCTGTTAGTCTGCATTTTCCATTTTGGAGAACCACTTTTCCAGGTTTAGAAAGTTGGGAGTCTTGGAAAAATGTTTTCCATTTCCAGTCTTCTAATGGAAAAATTTCCAATTTTCCAGATGCTGAACACTTGGTTTTTCAATGTTAATGAGCTTTGTAAACTCAAAGTATATTCAGGATAATTATATTGTACAAGTGTCAAACCCTCCCGTGGATTAGCATGTTCCGTACTGTTGTTGAAATAAATAATACAAGGGAACTGATAAACTGATTGCATACTCCTTTTCTTTAAGATGGTCACACAAAGGACTTAAATCTGAAAAAAAAAAAAAAACTAGATGTTGGCCAAGTAGCTAGAATGGCAAACAAGCCCAATGCCTAACTGTATACAGGACTAGTAAACACACCACAGACACATATAACTAAGAGAATAATTTAATATGTATTTTTAAACTTAAAAGCATGGTCGGTGCATTCTTCACCAATGTGTGTATGCATAAATATCTTCTGGTACTTAACATATGCCTAGACTGATTTTTGCAATAATGATTAAACCAGAAGGGTGAAACCCAATAGCATCAGTATTAGATAAGCAAGTACTATAATGATGTCATGAAACGTTATGAACTTGCATGGAGTTGCGTCTGCCCTAACTCTGATGATAACTCAGAATAAGTAATGGAACCTTCTTGTGGTTGGTTCCCTTCTTATGGATTCATTCTTTGTATGCCAACTGAGTTTTCTCTACAAGCCCAGCTCATGACCCTACTTGTGGGCTATGTAACTAGTAAAAGCTTGCAATAGATATGTTAACTGTTAACTTTAGCTATATAGCAAAACAAATTGAGAGACATGCATATACTTGTGAATGTAAAAATGAGTTACTACCTCAAATAATTGCTAATGATGTTTACTTGTGTGAACAATGGATCAGGATTAGGAGGGCTACTGATCTGGCACCCGTATACAGTTCTTGATATTGACCTGGCTTGTCTCCAACAGTGTTGTTTAAGAAGCTTCTGCATTCACCAAGTGCAAAATCTATGCTTGTGCATATGTAAACATGTTGTCTGGAAGAATAGGAGTTGTATTGAGCTTTGTTTCTATCTAATAATAAACCTAAATAATGGGAGTTCTGTTGAGCTTCTTTTCAGCTAAATAACTCTCTCTGATGGGATTATCTAATGCTTCTCTTTTTCATCATCATTTGTTACTGTGTTTTTCTAGGGAAATCGATAGTAATAGAAAGAATTTCAAAGTCATGGACAAAAGTAGGAAATTTTTTAATATTAGACAAACTTAGGAGAAGAATTTTTAGTAAATGCGTTTTTGGCGTTGATTGAGCTATATTTCAGTTTAAAAACATACACACACACACTCTGACATTGGTTCTATTATTAAACCTAAATAATGAGAGTTCAATTGAGCTTCATTTCAGCTTAAACTCTCCCTGACGGGATTTTCTAATACTTCTCTTTTTCATCATCATTTGTTACAATAGGTGTGTTTTTCTAGGGAAATCGATAGTAAAGGGAAGAATTTGAAAGTTATGGACAAAAATAGGAAACTTTTAAATATTAGACAAACTTAGGAAATTTTTTTTGGTAAATAGTCAATCAAAAGTTTGACTTTTGTAGAACCTGCAACTTAGAGTTGATGTGTGCATTAGAGTGCAAAATTTATCTAACCGGTGAGTTTAAGATTCATATTCAGTGTCATTGTATCCTTTCTAGCCTTTTACTTTGAATGTGTTGAGGATTGTTAGGAAGTCATTCAAACTAGAAATCTTTTGGCTTGCTAGTTGTCCTACATTGGTATTGGAACCTTCTTTATGATAAACAACACTTCTAAGTCTTTTGAATTCCTATTGAGAAGAAAGAAAAGGGGAACCCCACAAGCGCCATCGCCCCCGCCAGCCCGCTCAGCTCGGTTCGGTTCGCACGCGTGCAAGGTGTGGTCTGGTGTGGCAACTTTTTGTCACCTAATTTTTTGGATTAATTCTGTTTACCTTGTCCGCATTGTTAATGAGATCATGGATACGTATAATTCTCTCAGCTACACGTCCCTATCCTGCGCACTGTTAATGAGATTATGGGTATATGTAATTCTCTTAGAATTGTTAATGAGATCATGGGTACGTGTAATTCTCTCAACTACACATCTCTATTCCTATGCTCATCCGTCGCTGAAAACAAAACTTGTTGCATTATTTATTATATAAACAGCATCCAACATTGTGAAGGAACACGCCAAAACCTACAGAGTTTCTTCTCCTCTCTAGTTCTATTTGAGCAAAGTCTAGTTCGCCTACGTTATAGCTGGTGTAAGCTAGGCGTAGGTGGTCTGTGTTACCCGTCAAAATCGTGTCAGGAAACTTTTGACTGCACAGTCACAAAAAAATCGCTTTTAAGGTAGTGTTATTACAACATGACACGGAGCTCTCTTTTCTTATTTCTCAACAGCCAGCATGTTTTTCCCTTCTTTCATACACTTTCATTTTCATACACTTTCATTTTCTTCCAGAAGTTCTTCGACGTTGCTCAAGGTATTTTACAACACTAATGGTCCAGGATACTTGGCAATCCACAGCCACCTATGTACCCATGTTAACCCCCACACTTTCCACTAGCTTGCTATATAGCCTATGAAGCTGGGAGACCTTAGACCAACATCCCCATTGGCCAAAAGAACCTAAAAGTCAAGCGGGTCGGCGTATAATTAGGGGTTGGAGGCTGTTTCGGGCTTGTATTCTTACTGAGCGAGAGTTGGACCTTGACTCAAGCGAGTGAGTGAAAGGCGTGGCAAGAGAGCAAGTTCGACTCGCGAACGATCAGCAAGTGAAGGACTGATCCTTTTGCGCCAATACTGTTGCAAGACTGGTACTTGGCGGCTCACGAGCAAGCATATCGAATGTCCGTCTATTCCCGCATTTGGCTACTTCTTCATACAATTAGTCTGGAATAGAGAAATGACAATAATACAAAGCGGCATTCTCCCTTTACTCTATCTTGATTGAGAATGGAATTATGGAACAAACTCCCAAAGCTGTGGAACTAACGAGTCTATTAGAAAGTAGAATTAGCAACTTATGCACGAATTTTCAAGCAGACTCGATCGGCCGGGGGAGGAGCATTTTTAAATGCTAAATCACTGAATTAATAAAATGCCAAATGCGTTCCTCAATCACAAGCTCTAAAGGGAAAAAAATAGAATCACCAAAGCGGATGATTGACTCATTCCATACTAGAACTAATCATAGAAAATTCTTTGATAACAAAGATTCCTATTTCTCAATGATATTCTATGATGAAGACAATTGGCTGAATTCCGAAAAACCATTTTATAGAAGTTCATTGATATCCTCTTTTTATAAATCAAATCGACTTCGATTCTTGAATGAACACTAAAATCCGACCGACCGTCCACACCTCACCACAACCCGGTCAAGACCAAGGTGGAGGGTCAGCCGACCCAACAAACTAGTTGGCTAATAGATGAGAGTCAAAATAGCACCTTGCCCGCATATCGGCTAGGCGAGGGGCGAAACTAACCCCCTTCTCCCCCAGCCCTGCATTGTGTGTTTTTTCCTCCTTGCTCCAATTCCCCTCAACAAATTTACCTTAATCAATTTCTGGTTGAAAGAAGCCTAACAACGAATAATTCCTAATCTGTTTGGTACCCCACTCTTCATGCTAAACTTATATATATATATATATATATATATATATATATATATATATATATATATATATATATAGGGTAATGTTCTTGTGATATCATACCACCTCTTTCTGTGAATTCGTGAGACCCTTCATGAATGCACACAACTACTCAATGGTAGATTGTATGCATTCAGCCATTCATGTTGGGCAGGGCCGGTCCAAACATTTTACAGGCTCGGGGCGAAATTTTAAAAAAGGGCCCTATATAAAAAATTTAAATTCAAATTTAATAATACTAAAACAATTAGAATATCAAATAACAAGAAATAAGATTAGAAAATTTTCAACAATTTTTTAAATACAAAAATAATCATGACAAAAAATTTCTACGTGCTTTACTCGATGCAAAATCATCGATAATTGCATCAAGATTTATATTTTCTAACATATCTTTCTCAATACACAAAATCGCCAAACCATTCAATCTTTCTTGTGACATTGAAGATCTCAAGTAGGTTTTCAATAACTTCAATTTTGAAAAACTTCTCTCCGCTGATGCTACAGTCATGGGTATTGTCAATAATATTCGATAAGCAATAGAAACCATTGGGTAGCAATCCGCAACTTTGACAAACTCAAGAATCTCAATCGCTGACATCAATGTGTTTGGCAAAGTCATCTGTAACACTTTTAATTCAGAGAAAAGATCATCAGAATCAACATCGGACATATCATTATGAGAAAAAGTAATTGCAAAATTATTGCAACATTCTCTTAGTTTATTATTATCCAATGACTTCAATATTTTTGAATTATATAAAAATCCAAAAGTATTTTCAAATATCTTTAGTTGTTCAAATCTATTATTCAATGAAGTAATTGCCACATCCACAACAGTTAAAAAATAATTGACTCTAAAAGACTCCTCAGGTGATTGAATTTCCTCTTCATTATCATTTTCATCAAATTGCTTTTTCCTAATAATACGTCGTCTAATTGGAAATGTAGGCTCTATGTCCATATCACATGCAATATTTTTGGCAATATTCATACTAGTAGCAAACCCTTCATTTCTATATTTCTCAAAAAAATTCATTACACCTTCTAATTGGGTCATTGTAGTTTCAATGCACATAGATTTTGATTGCAACTTTTTGCTTACCATATTAATAGCAAATAAAATATCATACCAAATAACAATTCCAAGTAAAAATTCAAAACTTTGGAGTACATTAACCAAGCTATCAGCTTCACTTTTTGATTTGGCATCATCACAAATTTTAGATAATTCTAACAAAGCTAACCTTATTTGGGGAGCTTGAAATCTAATAGCTTTGACACTTTTTATTCTACTCTCCCATCGAGTATTTGATAAATATTTCATAGTCAAGTTTGGAACATTATCAAGTAAAATTTTCCACCTTTTTGTTGAACTTGAAAATAAAGCATATATACGTTGCATAGCACCAAAAAATGAAACTGCTTTAATACAAGAATGTGCCATATAACTAACAGTAAGATTAAGACTATGACAAGCACATGGCATATACAATGCTCTCGGATTTATTTCAAGTAATCGTTTTTGAACACCTTGGTGTTTTCCTTTCATATTCGAACCATTATCGTAACCTTGACCTCTAACATCATCAATTTTAAGACCTAAAGCTTTAATTGCATCTAACAATTCATTAAAAAGTCCTAAACCAGATGTATCATCCACTTTCAAAAACTCTAAAAAATATTCTTCTATTTTTATTTTATTACTAGACATATTAACACACCGTACTACAAAACTCATTTGTTCTTGATGACTCACATCAGGGGTACAATCAAGAATTATAGAAAAATATTTAGCCTCTTTAATAATATTTATGATGAAACTTTTAACACTTTGGGCCAAAATAGAAATTAACTCATTTTGAATTTTATGACCAAGATAATGATGATGAATTTCATGGTTGTTAATACGTCTAATATGATCTTGCATTATTAAATCAAATTCTGCAATCATCTCAATCAATCCCAAAAAATTACCATTATTATCACAATAAATTTTTTCATTGGATCCTCGAAAAGCCAAATTATGTTTTGCAAGACATTTTATAGCAGAAACTATGCGTAGTAAAACTTGTCTCCAACGTTCTTTTTCTTTTGAAATTTCATATTGTAAATTTTTATCAATAGTTTGATTATTATTCAATCTTATTTTTAGTTCATTCCAATTTGTCATATTAGTCATATGTTCAATACTATTCTCATGTTGTTTGAGTCTCTCACTAAGATGCTTCCAATCTCTAAATCCATCATTCGCTAAAGGACTTGTATTGTTATTAGATTTGAACAACTTACAACAAAAACAATATACTTTATCCACATGTTTTGAGTAAACTAACCATTTTCGATCACTAGTTTCTCCATTACTCAACTTCCTAGTATAATGAGCATATAAAAAATGCCTAGAGTTATTATCCAAAGGAAACACATTATTTAATTCCCTTATAGGCCCCTTTTCAACCAAAATATCTTTTGATTTATTATCAAGATTAGACCAATTTCTAGGGTCATAAATATCAAAATAAGGAGCAATTTGTTCATCAACCAATATATTTTCAACACTATACTCATTTGATAAATTATCATGTTCACCTAAAGGACTATTATTTGTTACATTATCTTGTCCATTCAAATTACCAATATCCTCATCAATATGATCTTGATTCCTCAAATTTTCATTAGATGGTTCAAGATTATCTACGTTTGGTCTCTCTAAATTTTCATTAGATGATCCTACTATTTTAATAAATTTATTCATAGCTCCTCTTTGTGAGTCTATTAACTGCTCAATTTTTTTTCTTTTTTTTCTCTTTTCACTTCCAGATAAATGTTTATTAGGCAACATTATATATATATATATATATATATATATATATATATATATATATATATATATATATATATATATATATATATATATATATATATATAAGGAACAAAAGCACCTGGCACTTGGAATACTGAAATAGCCAATCAACAATCTTTATTTCTACCAACGGGTAAACATGTATCTTCAATCCCTACATAAATAAATGAATAAACACATTACACAACTTACAAAATAAAATAAAATAAAATAAAAACAATCTTCATATAATAAACCTAATAAACTTACAATTTCATTATACATAGGAATCCTAAGAAATAGAATTAAAAGACAAATAAAATTCATAATTCCCAACTCTTAAACAACAAATCAATAATTCCTAATTTCAAAATGTAATAAGCAATTTATTCTGCAATTTTTCCTAATTTCCAATAATCTGCAAATCTGCAATTTTGTAATATGTAAATCTTTAATATTCAATTCATTATGCAAAATTCCTAATATGCAAATCTGCAATTCCTAATATTCAATTCAATATGCAATTTATTAAATCTGTAATATGCAATAATTCATACTTTCAAATCTGTAACCTAATATGCAAATCTGCAAAAAATTCATTTACCAAATCTGTAATATGCAATTCATTAAATCTGTAATATGCAATACTTTCAAAATGTAATATGCAATTAATTCCTAAATCATAACAATTAACTAAATCTGCAATAATTCCTAAATCTACAATAATCCCTAAATCCTAACAATTAACAGTTAACAAAACTTAAATTCAGATTACATTAATAACTAACAATTAGCAATGCCTAATCTGCAATTTTAAACCTAATCTATAATTCATTTTGTTTTTAGAATGTAATATGCAATTCCTAAATCCTAAATTTCCAAATCATAAAATACCTTTGCAATTGCAGATTACTGAGATTAGGCCGGCGAAGGCCGAAGGTTAGGGCGCGAGACAGAGGAGTAGAGGACGGTGACTTGGAGAATGGCGAAGAAGAGGCAGGGCGGTGAACTGAAGAGCGGTGAAGGCAAGGTAGAAGACTGTTATTTGACTTCTGAACTTTTAATAACTTCATTCTTACCGTTGAGAAGAATTGAAGGGTTACAATGGATTGTGTTGTAGGTGCAACCGGCCAGGCAGAGAGAGGCGTCTCTTCTTCGTAATCCCGTCTTTCCGTCTTCCGCTCTTCTGCTCTCTGTTATTAGATTTTTTTTAATACATATTAACTATTAAGTACAAGTATTATAATATATATAATATATTACTATATTTTCTATGGGCCCCCTATAGACTTGGGCCCTGGGCAGGTGCCCAGGCTGCCCATGTGCCTGGGCCGGCCCTGATGTTGGGCAATTAAAAATATTTACGAGTGAGGGAAAGAAATCATATGTTTGGACAAGAGACTTTAATGATAAAATTACATATTAGCCTTCTTTGAAAAAATTATAAATGGATGACTAATTGTGACAAACAAATTAAAATCATGGATATAATGAGACAAAATTAAAAGAGGAAGATTAGGTGACAATGTCACAATAATCAATAACTAAAATTAAATTTTATTTATTTATTAAAATGTCAAAGTACATATGAAGTCCATGTGCTATAGGGTGGCAATGTAACAATAATCAATTACTAAAATTAAGGTTTTTTTTTATTTTTTTATTTTTTTATATTTAAAATGTCCATGTGCTATAAGGTTTTGTTCAATTTAGTTCATATACTTTTGTTTTGAGCACCATAATCTCTTTACTCTAAAAGTTTATACAATTTAAAGACAATAATTGTCAATATTAATATAACCGTTAACTTTGCTAACATGGCATTAACTCATCATTACCACATCAGCATAATATGATGTTGGCATGTCTAATTCATATATTATTTTATCAATATTTAAAGATAAAAATGAGTATGGAATTCATCACGAAAACTCTCTCTGAAAGGGAAGAGGTGGAGGTCCCAATCGCGCAGCAACTCAACCAGAACACATAGTTGTTCGTGGTTCCAATCAGGGGCGGGATATTGCCACGACGGTGGTTCACCATGGAATTATGACCACGAACCATCCTATGGCAGTCGATTTAGTGAATATGTTTAAAGAAGTTCCTCCTGACATCCCTCACATTGGCACCAAGGCGGCTGATCCTCCGGATATATCAATGGTTAATGTGGTTAATGATGATGGCAGTCATGGCCTTGAGGCGTCTTTCCTTTTGTGCTCTTAATGGGCCCTTTTCATTTTATTTATTGTTTCTAATGATCTCTCTTGTTTGGAATTGTCAGGGTGCGGCCTCGGCCTCCTTTAGGCGCACCCTAAAACAGTTTTCTCGTGATTTTGCACCTTCAATCATTTGCTTGTTGGAACTTGTTCAAATCTCTATATTTCATACTATTGAGTCAAGAGGATACATGTATTTATACTAGGCTATGCACACTAACTATGGTAAGAATCAATAATATCCTTAAGATATTATACACAATATCCCTAAGATATTATACACACAATCACTGAGATCATATCAAATATACTTCTACCATATAATGTTTAACACTCCCCCTCAAGTTGGAGCATAGATATTGATAATGCCGAACTTGTTACATAAGTAATCTATTCGAGGCCCATTCATAGCTTTTGTATAAAGATCTCTTAACTGTTCTCCTGTCTTCACAAATCCAGTAGAAATTAAGCCTCGTTGTATCTTTTCACGAATGAAATGACAGTCAACTTCAATGTGCTTGGTTCGTTCATGGAAAACAGGATTGGCTGCAATATGGAGAGCCACTTGATTGTCACACCATAGCTTCGCAGGAATAGAAGCCTTGAGCCCTATTTCATCGAGAATGTGATATATCCACAAGATTTCACAGGTTGCTTGTGCCATTGCTCTATACTCTGACTCTGCACTCGATCGTGAGACAACATTTTGCTTCTTGCTCTTCCACGAGATCAAGTTTCCACCAAAGAAGACACAAAATCCGGTTGTAAACCTCCAATTCTCCTTAGACCCTGCATAGTCTGCATCTGCAAAGCACTCAATGTTCATATGTCCATGGTTTTGATATACAATTCCACGTCCTGGAGCCACCTTTAAAATAGTTCAGGATTTGTTCAACAGCTTTCCAATGATCAACAGTTGGAGACGCCATAAAGTGACTTACAATACTTACTAAGTAAGCAATATCAGGACGAGTTACAGTCATATAATTTAGCTTACCAACCAATCTTTTATATCTTTCTGGATCATCAAATAGCTCCCCCTTTGATGTCAACCGTGAATTAGGGATCATTGGAGTATTGCACGGCTTGGCTCCCAGTTTCCCTGTTTCTGTCAATAGATCAAGTACATATTTTCTCTGGGAGAGAAGTATACCTTTCTTACTCCGTATTACCTCAACACCTAGAAAATATTTTAATGTACCAAGATCTTTAGTCTGAAATTGACTATGAAGAAAGGTCTTAAGAGATACAATACCAGCGGTGTCACTTCCAGTGATGACAATGTCATCCACATAGACAACTAATAAAATAATGCCTTTCTCAGAGCGTTTATAGAAGACAGAATGATCAGGATTTCCTTTTATCATGCCAAACCTCTCAATCGCTTGACTGAATTTCCCAAACCATGCACGAGGGCTTTGCTTAAGGTCATACAAAGATTTGCGAAGTCGACAAACCTTACCATACTCCCCCTGAGCAACAAACCCAGGTGGTTGCTCCATTTAGACTTCTTCTTGAAGCTCACCATGTAGAAAAGCATTTTTAATGTCCAGTTGATGTAAAGGCTAATTAAATGCAGCAGCCATAGATATAAGCAATCTGACAGAGGTCAATTTTGCAACAGGAGAAAATGTGTCAGAGTAATCAATACCATAAGTTTGTGCATATCCCATAGCAACTAGACGAGCCTTCAACTGAGCTACAGATCCATCAGAGTTAACTTTCACCACGAACACCCATTTGCACCCAATGGTGTTCTTCCCTACAGGTAAATCTACCAAGTTCCACGTACCATTGAAATCCAAGGAATTCATCTCCTCAATCATAGCGTTACGCCACCCAGAATGGGACAGTGCTTGTTTGACAGTTTTAGGAATTTGTATAGAGTCAAGAGAAGCAATAAAAGAGCAGGAGATATGGGGTAAGTGGTTGTAAGAAACAAACGATGAGACTGGATAAGTACAAGTTCTTTTACCTTTGCGTAGGGCTATTGGCAAGGTAGCTGGATCAGACGACGAAGAATCCAGCTAAGGACATGAATTTGGCGTATTGTCAGGAACCGAAGTAGTGTCTGGATTGGGGTTAACCTCTTTTAGAACAGACTGGTGTTTACGAGAATATACCTGAGTGATTGGTGGTCGGGAAGGTGGAATAGAAGCGGAAGCGGTGGTAACCGTATAGATGAGAATATCATCATCACTGTCGCCATGGCTTTCTGAATTTGAAGAAGGTGAGAAGGAAACATCTTCATGGAAGGTTACATCAATAGACACTAGATATCTTCCCGTTGACGGACAATAACACTATACCC